GTGTTGGAAATAGTTGAAAGTCACAATTGGGTTATCATTCGGGTTTCGGCTCCGGAGCTCCAAATGACCCGTAGATAATGGACCCATTACTTTCTCTAAAATGAAACCTCCTTGAAATGGTTGCGCTGATGATAATTTCATTGAATTTGACTCTAATAATGTTGCCTTTGGAGAAAACATTGCATAGTAGTCTCTAGCGGAGGAACCACTACCACTACTACCACCACCGCCAAAATTCTCGCCACCGGCAGCCTCAACGTATGTACCTTCGCCAGTAATTCCAACTACCTCGATGAGTGAGACTTCGACAGGGACCGGAGAAGGGATGAACACAGCGTTCATAGGGTTGTCATGCATCCTTTGACCCACATGAGGCTGGTCTAGCACCACCGTGATATTTTGGGCCTGTAATTGAGCTGATGGACCAACACCGCTTAGCATAAGGAGTTGTGGGCTCCCTAAGGTTCCTGCGGATACTATGATTTCATTATTTGAGCCTTCCTTTAGATAAGCTCGGTGGGCCTGACCGGTGCGATCTCTGTACACAACTCCGTTGGCTACTGGCTTTGTGGTACCTTAAACATGTATATTTGATAGTTAGCTAGCTAATCATACAATTCAATAAACATTAATTTGTAACTACCAAAAATGTAATAAATCCAACCATATTTGTCTATGATTATAAAATATGTTACTACATTAAGTACCTCGTGTCCGAAACAATATCCGGTGGACAGTAGCATGCAAAAGGACGGTGATACCCTTGGGATCGGCGTACTCCAACAAATCTGCGGCGGTGTGTCTATCGCCATTATGATCAAAAATAGTACCGCCAAATTTCGTGCCATTGATGTGATCATAAGTGAAACCATTATTAGGGACAATTCCAACTTCCAATAAGCCATCTCTCACGGCGGTTTGCCACCGCCCCATCGGTGGCTGAAACGCCACTTTGGCTTCTACCCAACGGTATGACTCGTTCGCTAGCCCTCCGTCCCAACCCATGTTTCTAACAACATTTCAATTCATGCTAATAATTAATTATTGTTGACACAACAACAATAAATATTTTGGTACCTTTGTATTCTGAACCAACCCTGGCAGATTTTAATGAGATGTATATTAATTTATAAGTAAATTTAAATTTTTTTAGTATAATCAGTGTTCTACATACAAATGTCTTTAGTAGATCGATATAGTTTTTTTCCCTTGTGATATTTTTAGCTATTACAACGGCAATTTCTTCTAATGAATATCACACAAGAAATATAAACTATTATTCTGCATCAAAAAGCCAGAAACACATACATAAATATGCATATCTAGCAGATTATCAGCACCACATATAAGTTATATATACATCATATATATATATTCTGATATTCGTTCCTATACGGCTATAACCAATAAGCTATAAAGCTAATAAGCTACGTTAAAAATGTTGAAACCACATAGATAGTGAAAATTCATCATATTTGAAATGTATATGTAAATACACTTGCATGCAGTAGAGTATATATAATATGCACTAACCTAACGTATTTGGTTCCGGCACGTGTGTAGAAGCCGGCGTTGAGAGCGCTTCCGCCGCCGAGAACTCGAGCACGTGCGTTAATCACGCCGTCCTCCGATATGAAACGCTGTGACGGTGAGGCTTCGGACAAATCAGAAAGAGCGGCTCCGAAAGCCGAGAGCCTCGTGATGTTTGGGTTGTTGTATGGTGCCCCACCGCGTTCTAGTAGCAAAACGCTATAATTTTGAGATAGCGTTGCGGCTAGAGGGCATCCGGCGGTCCCGCCACCGATGATGATGTAGTCGTAGTACGACGTCGTTGGAGTCCCTGTCGCGTCGCGCATGAAGGAGTAGTTTGGAGCTGCCATAAATTTGGTAAAACTGTATAACTCATCCACGCTAAAATGTAGAATACACGAATGTATATGCATATTAATTAATTACCTTTATCAGAAGAACAAATTGGAGAATGCAGGAACAAAGAAAGAGTAACAAAGAATCTCCATGACCATACTCTATCCATCGTGATCGTCAGAATAAATATTTAGAGTAGAACTTTGTCACCTTGTTTATATCTAGTGCCTATGGTTGAAATAAATGTCTCGACCCTTTAGTTATATATATAGCTAGAGGCAATAAAGTAAGAGTCCATATAATTCTGAGGGAAATGCAACACCAAAATTCTATGTCTACTTTCATGGACACGTGTCAAACTGAGAAGCAGATAAAAAAATCCGAAGGATTATTAAATAGTGATAATTTAAAGAAAATGCAAATTAGATGGAGTATCATGAGATAAGAAAGTAAATAGACCGATAAAACTTATAGGGAAGGCATTAAATAAATTGCTATACTTACCTGTCTCTCTTGAACATGAATAAAAAATTCTGAAAATATAAATTTGTATTAGCAATATATGAGACATTTCAATGACGACAAACGTTAATTAGTATCAGTTAAAATGCACCAACTACTTTTCTCTTTCCGTGTGATCATAATAAGGCCAATATGTTAGGTGGGAACAATGAACATAGTTTTGATTGAATGAAACGAAAATGAGCATTTACTAATCAACACTTTTAGGAAGAAGAATTTTTAAAATTACTACTAGACTACGCAGATGATCAGTTTTTGGTGTTATTTAGTGATGAATATTTGAATTTAGTGATGAATATTTGAATTTAGTGATGAATATTTGAAAGTGTTTGTACTTGCAATAGTTTAAATGTGATAAATTCACTTAATTCATCTTCTTTATTTGTAGCTTAGTACAGCACAACTACAACCACAAGAAAAAATATTCACTCGTTTGAATTCGTTCTACGACCATTAGTTGATGAGTGCCTAAATTTTCAATAAAAATAGAAGCGTTGTGTAAATTCATTCAATAATTATAGTTAACTGTATTTTCTTTTTGATAGTTGAGATTACCTATCAACATTTATTATGCTTTTTATTAGTATAAAATTTTGGATAGACAAGAACGTAATACGATTTGAAAAAGAAAGGAACGAGGACAACAAATGGCCGAAGATTTTGGTTGCTATTCATTAAATGGTCGGCTAGCAGTTACTTTAAATGAAAATATATGATGTTATTAGTTTTACCTGGGGAAAACAACAAGTGGCCGACTAGATTAATCTATCAATCCTTATTGGCATTGTTATGGCCGCCCTCACAATATGAAATCCACAAGTCAAAAATAAAATATATGAGTAAATTTGTTACCTCTATGCCACTACACTTACACTATACTACATAGACTGACTGACGTTACTTTGTCATTTTTATGGCTGCTGAAATAGTTTCTTACAATGAGAGCTAGTTTTGGCATCATTGTTGCGAAACTACCCGAATTCTAGTTTGAAAACCAAAATCACAGTGTGGCTTGTTTGATTCAAGGACTCCTTACCCTTTGGCACGAAAGTGAAAACGGTTCTTGCGGAGGTAATAATGGTTGGTTATCAGTTTGTGTTATGAACTTAATTTTGAATAAAGTTGTATGATGCCATTATTTTACGAACACAAAACAGTTGGTTTTCTTTAAGACTGATATTACAAGGATTTAAAATCAGTTGAATTTTGTTTATCCTCTATCGTAACTGGTTAAAGACTTAAAATATATACAATGCTGAGAAATTAAGAGCATGTTTAATGGAGGTTGCTTAGAGAGTTGCTTATGAGGAGAGGAGTGTTTAATTTGAAGAGAGAGGGTTGCTTAGGAGGAGAGGAGTTGCTTAATTAAGCAATTTTTACACTCTCTCTCTTTAAATTAAGCATCTCTCTCCTCCTAAGCAACTCTCTAAGCAACATGCATTAAACATGCTCTAATGTACATAATTAGTATTCTACTAATACGTCATATATCACATGATAAATTCTTGCATTAGTTTTTTTTTATAACACTAGGAAAAAAGACGAGGTTCGTCGAAACACAAAAGTGATACAAAAGGCATAGAAATGAGATGTCACTAGACACCATCAAAGAAGAGATGAAAAAGATCTTATCCAAATCCTTTTTTACAAGGCCTTCAAAACGAGTAAGTGAAGAAGTCACGATGGAGTATTCTGGACGATATACGACTGATGACGTCTATCTCGAGTGTCAAAGAAAGCAATAGCCGCTGCAGCTTCATTTAATATATTGTCACATGATATAATAGTTAGACAAATAATAGTTCACATGATAAAGTCCGTTTTTATGTTCGAGGTTACAATTACCTAGGTGTATTTGGTTAAATAAAAAAAAGAGAAAAAATTGTTTAATATATCAAATTATGGCCTAGGCCAAACTATTTGCATGGTCTCGATTCAACTACCAAAAGAAAACGAGCTGAAGGCCCATCATATATTGTCGGAATCCTTTTTTGTCAATACAAGTGCTACAGAAAATGTACTCCTATGATGGACTTTTATTTTCTGGATACAGTTGCATATAAGTTTTTATACTCCAAAAGCTAATACTTAAATGAATTGCAGAAATGGTTTCCCAGCTAGAATCAGAATTTAGAATGTGGGTGGACAAGTGTTCTATAGTCTATACAAATCAACCAAAAGAGAAGTCAATAATTGGCAAATAAAATAATAATAAAAAGAAAAAGAAATAGTGGAGTACAGTATGCTTGTACAGCTAATAAAACATGAAATACAGATGGACTTCTCTTTGGTTGTCAAAAGCATAGACAAAGTCAACTAACTCTAATGATTATTTAAGAGACCTAATAATGTCATTAAGATGAATAAAACAACTCTAGTAAAATTAATTAGTAACTCGAATCTCTCAGACAACTAGGTCCCGTTAGATTCATACGGTCAGTAGATTTCCACGTGACATTCTTTTAATTGGGGTGTTTGGGTAATTATCGTCACCAAACTATAAAAAGCTTGGTGTAAGTGTAGGTCCCATCTTTTTCGCCGTTGGATAGGTTTCCTCTTTTCCTCAAGACGAATCCATAAGGTCTAATCATTTACACAGAATACTTATATAGTTTGCTCACTGTTTATACAGTTTTGTAAGAATCCAAAGAGAAGAGAGAGAAAGATTGAGAGACTAGAGCAGAGGACTGAGTCTTGTCTCTTCGCTGCAACCTATAGCTGTTCTGTTCTCTCCTCTTGGCTTCCTCTTTGCAACCAAAAAAGAGTAAAATTTCTCAGAAAGTCTCAAACTTTTTTGTTCATGAATTTCTCATAAAACCACAATAAAAATCTCATCTTTTTAGTTGAATTGATTTGGGTTTATCAATTAGAAGTACTTGCTGAACTCTCTGGATGTGTGTTAGCTCTTTGATCTGGAATTTGACTTATGGGTCAGTGCTTGAATCTGAGGTTTTAGCTCTTAACTCTTAAAAAGTTTAAAACTTTACAGATCAGAGGATTCCAAGGAGAATGCACCTTGACTTATAGCAACTAAGAGAAGATTCACCTGCCTTGAGTTATTGTAGCTGAAAGAGAAAGTTTTGATCTTTGGAAATGGGTATGGACCTAGCTGATAAGGAGAACACAACCTTTCCTTTATTTGAATTCTCCAATTGCTACAAAGTTGCAAACCTTACCCAAACCATTCTAAACCCAGTAAATATTTCTAATTTAAGAGACCGTTACGTGCTTGGGGAACAGTTAGGATGGGGTCAGTTCGGTGTGATCAGAGTCTGTTCTGATAAGTTAACAGGAGAGAGGCTTGCTTGCAAGTCAATCTCTAAAGACAGACTTGTAACACAAGAGGATATGAAGAGTATCAAACTCGAGATTGCGATTATGACTAAGTTATCTGGCCACCCTCACGTTGTGGATCTCAAGGCGGTTTACGAGGAGGAGGATTCAGTGCATCTTGTGATGGAGTTATGCGCGGGAGGTGAGCTTTTTCATAAGCTGGAGAAGTATGGAAGGTACTCTGAGGTTCGTGCAAGGGTGTTGTTTAAGCATTTGATGCAAGTGGTTAAGTTTTGTCATGATAATGGCATTGTCCACCGGGATTTGAAACCAGAGAACATTCTTATGGCTACAGTGTCTTCTTCCTCTCCTATCAAACTTGCTGATTTTGGTTTGGCAACGTATATCAAGCCAGGTAAGATATAGATAACTATCTCTGTCACTTTCATGGACGTTGTTGTGTGTTCTAAGGTGTGTGTTTTTGTTATGAAACAGGGGAGAAGTTAAGTGGGACAGTTGGTAGTCCGTTTTATATAGCACCGGAAGTGTTATCAGGAGGGTACAATGAAGCTGCTGATGTATGGAGTGCAGGGGTTATTTTGTACATACTTCTCAGTGGAGTGCCTCCCTTTTGGGGAAAGACTAAGTCAAAGATTTTTGATGCTGTCAGGGCTGCAGATTTGAGATTCTCTGGTGAGCCATGGGGGAATATAACTTCACACGCCAAGGATTTGATCCGTGGGATGCTTTGTGTTGATCCTTCCCAAAGGTTATCAGCTGATGGTGTTCTAGGTATCTCATCTTGCCAATCATTTGTTGGAAAGTTATTTTTTTTTTTTTACTGAGTTGATGATTTGTGTGCAGCTCACTCTTGGATGGAGGAGTTGTCTGGATTAGGACAAGAACAGTATGATCAAGATGGGTTTGGGTGTGAAGGATTGGAGATTGGTGGAGGTTCTTTCTCCACAGGATATGTTTCTCGTGAGCAAGACTATAGCTTCAGCATGGGGCAGTTAGAGCCATTGACAGATAACGAGTGCAAATCATCATTCTCCTCTTTCTTACCTGCTGATAACAACAATATACAGCCTACTTCTGGTTTTGGTGGGTTTTCTTTTGATGGGAAACAACCAGAATCATCATCTGTTGGCTTACCATTAACTGGACTCACATCTATGCCAAGCTTTAGCTTCTTTAGTCCAAGCTCAGCGACGACAGAGAACAACAACATTCATGAAACAGATGGGAAACTTCGAGGTAGCCTCCTCTTTCACTCTTACTTGCATTTAGAATGTTGTGTCCTGATGATGATTGCTATTTTTAGTTATATACCATCGCTGGAACTTATGGTCAGAAGTCATTGAACAATGAAAATCTATTATGTTAAAGAGCTTTGATCAAATGATTTTATTCCATTTTTTTACAGACTCAAGCCCAAAGAGATTACTGCCTTCACTGGATGCTTCTTCACAGCTTGAGAGGGGAGAGGAAGGAGGTGAGAATCAGGCAGAAGCAGCAGTGAAGTCAGAGACAAGAAGGGAAAGAGGGAACTGGGAAAGAATGTCAGTTCTACACAGCAAAAGAAACCGGACCATAGGACTTGGTGAGCTAGACCAGTTGGTGGTGGATGTTGCAGTCACTGAGTCGATTATCCGATGGGCATCTTGCACTCATATTCCCACTGCTCCATCCCTCAGACTATCGCTCGTCTGCTAGAACCAACGAACATGACTCTTATGAGTATTAATTATTGTATGTAAAATCATACTTCTGATTTTGGTCTTGTGTTGTCTTTGTCAATCTGTAAAAAAAACAACCGGAGATGTCTCAGCAATAGAGTGTGGTTTTGATTTCTTTAGAAAAGTATTTTATTACCAAATTATAATTAGTTAAAAACGGTGAAGAAAAAAAGAAAGATGCGTCTGCCGGTAGTCGAACCCGGGTCTATTGCTTGGAAGGCAATTATCCTAACCGTTGGACTACAGACGCTACTTGAACGATTGAAGTAATGACTATTTTTAGTCATAGTTTATGTGCGTGTACCAACATCATGTTAGTTAGCTGAGCTATGTACTGTATAGTTCAGCTCTCGACAAGAACACATTGCTAACAAAAACAAAATAAAATTAAAATACTGACAACATTTCTTTAATTTTTAATTATTTATTGTTAATTTTTCAAATTGAATTACTGAAATCCAAACTACAATGTTAATCAGAACTCTACCTGCTACAAACACCAAAATGAAATGAAGATAAAATAAATATTTTTTTGGGTAAAAAGATAAAGATAAAATAAATATAAAATGAAAAACGAACCAAGAACTAGTTAAAGGATTAAATTCGATCTCTCATTGTTTGATTATTAGACCAAAGGCCTACTCTCTTCATCTCCTTCCTTCTCAGACTTCATCAGCTCCAACTTCCCAGGTATTTGACCCGAACTTGAAAGTTTCGGTTTCCGGTTTGGATTGGGATCCGGAACCATCTTGAGAATAATGCCCATAGAGATTAGTAACAATCCCGTACCGTGCTGCTCCGTTAAAGGCTTTGTGAATATCAAGTATGATAGTAGCAACGTTACCGCTTTTCTCGCCGTTGTTATCTGTTCCCATAAACACACAAAAAAATATTAAAGTATAAATTTACATGCAAATAAAAAAATTTATATGTTGCATCAGTTTTATAAGACATTTTTGGTCAAAAACTAAAGTAAAAAATTCAAGACCACATTTCATATTAGAAAAGCAAGAGGAAAGTAGAGTTACCATAGCGGTCGTGGCCGCGCCAAAGAGCGCAATGAGGGAAAGAACCGAGACTTGTCCCACAAATGTAGCCATGGCTTCAAACACCAACACTCCATACACATACGGATGCTACCAGAAAAAAAAATACAATTAAGATAGCTTACTTAACTAATTATATTCTTCACTGGTTATTGTATAACTAATCCATATAAGGACACATACATTTCATGTGGTAAAACACACTACATTTCATATCTTGACATTTACGTTTAGGTGGTAGAAATTTTAATATAGTAAAGGTGGTTCGTGCACCAATCGTATTATTATTATACAAGATTAGCGGTGAATTTTATACGTATTAAGGTCTATAAACACACATACATTTTCACAATGTATAATGTACCAATTTTATACTATTATATATCGCTTACTTGAGCACATGAAGTCCAAGCTCGGAAAAGCTCTCCGGTAAGAATCATTGGTGCAACCAAGAACGGTAAACCAACTACTGTTGAACAGAACAACATCTCCATCTACCATCAAAGAGTGCAAATCACCGTTAATATTTAAATCGACAGAAAGAGATATTATGAAAAGAGGAGACTTGTAATTATGTTTACTTGTGTTGTGTCAGGATTCAACGTGAAGATGGCTTCTTGCAAGTTACCTAGAAAGGCGTCCATGACTAGAGCCCCTGAGATCATCATAATCCCAATTATGCTGAAGTTTGGGGAGGTATGAGCATCGGCTAATGTGAATAAGATTAGACCGATTACAAGTAGCATAGCTGATATGTACTCATGGACCGGATATTTTCTTCTTAGCCCGGGTATAAATGCTCCCATTACCATAACCGGTAAAACCTAGAGAAAGATAAAGAAATCATAGGCTAGAGATATTGAGAGATGTATAAAGAAATTGAATTTTTCTTTCTTCCTATCAGATCATATATGTATTAAAACAAATTGAATAACTATGCTCTACATTCACAAAATTTGATCGTAGAGAATTACTACACATACTTGGATGTAACACTCATGGACTATACCAAATTTGGTCAAAATAGTACCTTACATTACATATATATATATATATATATTATACCTTAGTTGATTTGAACATGATTTGAGCAGGGTAATTGAGATAAGCCAATGAGCCTTTGGTGAGACCATGAGAGCCCATAAGAACAGCTGATAGCTTCACGTAAGTTTTCCATGGATTCACCATTTGCTTCGTCGTGAAGCCATTTAGGTAAATCATTACAATGTACACGAGTCCTTGCACAAACGTGAAATACCATCCATAACTGCAACGTGCACACATTATAATTGTTTTAGTATAATTTTCATTTATTTATTTTTATAATATTAGACATTTTAAAATACCTGAATTTGAGCCGGTTGTACACATATTCCTGCAAATGTTAGAAAAATAAGGATAAGGATTAAGTTTATGGCTGCTATTTATCATTCGGGTTAGGTATTAAGCAAATACAGAATGGCAAGAGAAAAAGGAAAAAAAAATCTGGGGAAATTAATTATAATATATGGTACAAATGGATATCGGAATTAAAATGAAAAATTGCATGGCAGATTTTTTTGCCTTTGTTTCCGGCTAAAAATTATGTTCTAATGAAATATTTTTAGAAGAACACCGAAATTTTCTCTAATCGTTGGAATTTCTCAAAGATTATCATGCGAAAAACAATATTTTCCAGAAAAAAAAAAGTAAACAAAATTCTTAAAAAAGATTCATACCTCACAGACGCCGTTAACAAGGTAGCCAAAGAAGAAACCAGAGGAACATATGAGAAATTGTTGCCATCTTGGTTTATCAGAAAGACTTATTCCAAACAGTGACCTCATTTGTTCTTCGCTGTTCTTCATGATCTTGAGAGAGATAGAGAAAATGAATCAAAACACACACGAAAGTTACCGAAATTAAGATGAATAATTTGATTTATTTACTATAAAGATTTGGGATTTCTGGAAAAAGTGGACGAAGAGTCAGTGATATTGACAAGTAGATGAAGAAAGGTATAAATCAAATGAAGAGAGAATAACAAAAAATCTTTTGGATTTTTTTCTTCTTCTGTTGCATGCGCTCTCTAACTTAACGGTTACGAACTTTGTGACTTTTTAAGTCTATTCCTCTCTTAAATTCATCTCATTAAATTCCAGTATTGGGAACATAGATTAAAAGTCTAATTGTCTCCTTCTTTTCGTTCTTGTTTAAATATTGTATTTATCATAACATTCTTTTTTTTGGTCAAATATTTATCAAAAATTTATGATCTCTTTATTCAACAAACTATCTATTTTTTGATAAATCTCTATAAGATTTCATTCAATATCAAAAATTCACACTATACAACAATTTGCTATCATTTATTCATGCCATATTCCACCTTAATCATAATCAGTTGCTCAAAAACCTCGTTTAGTGAAGTCATTATATTGGGACTTGAGAGATCTGGCGAGCTAATGATGAGCTGGCAAATCATTTAATAAGTTTTAGTTAGCCACGTGTTTAGACGCTTTTATATCTGCACTGAAACTTCATGCCACATCAGACTATGAGTTTATTCTTTGTCGACGTCAGACTCAAGAGTCCATGTTTCTCTAAAACCGATGTAATAAGAAAATTTAAATACTTTAGATCAAACTTCAACATCAAATGTTATTTAAAGAAGGGTGAATTGGGTGAATACCCAAAAAGAGAGAGATAATTAAGAATTGGGGGGAAAAAAGTGGTATGTGAGAGAAGAGAGAGATAGAGATAAATAGGGTAGAATCCTAATTTAGTGGTTTTGTGTGTATAGAGGGTGCAAATACTCTTTAAAGAATAAAGAAGTCCTACCATAAAGTTCCCTTACATTTATTAATCGCAAACTTGACATGCAGGCCATTTCGGGATTTGCAATCGCACTGAAGACCCTTTTTTTTGAATAAAAAATGTTAAATGATATTACTCCTGTTTCATATTAAAAGTTGTGGTAGATAAAATTTTCGTTTTAAAATAAATATTATTTTCGATTTCCAATGTAAAATTATTAATTTTTATCTGTAATCTATTTTTTATTGGATGATATATGCTTAAGTTCATAAATAGTTGTATTTTTATAGGAAGAATATATAAAATTAATTATTTTATTAATCCGTGTGAATAAATCAAAGTTAAATTGATATTATTTATAATGAAAATGAGGAAATAGTCCTATAATCCAAACTTTGTAGAAAAATATTTTGTATGTACAAATATTTTGATCAAAGCATAGGCCCAATTTAATCTATATTTTGATTCAAAGCATAGTACTTTAAGCTGATGGTTATACATTCAGTTCGGCCTATGCTTTGTATAAAGATTCATAAAGCCCAAACATTTTATAACATATTTTCTCACAAGAACAATACAAAAATATTCCATCAGGGAGACTTCTAACTCAACCAGAGGATCCAAAAAAACCTCCAAAATGGGAAATCTTAAACTCAACACACTATTGCACACTTTTACCATATTACATATTTTTAAAAAAACATATGTATACTAATGTGCATCCCGCCTAGTAACGGTAACTCCAAAGTGACATATCCTCATAACTCATCTCTTCATCCATATAACCATTAGGAGTCACACCTTCCATATACGACCGTGGCGGCGACATTAACGGCTCCGTCGCAAGTCTCATCATAGTCGTCGACACTTCCTCTTCCTCCTCCTCCACATATCCATAAACATTCCTCTCCTCCGAACCAGAACCCAAATAAACCTCATCACCATAAGAGGGCAAAACCGTGATTCCACTCCCATACTCCGTCGGCCTGAACATCTCCGCCGCTTCAGCCGCGACTCTCCTTATGACGTCCGGGTGGTTTGACTCCGGCACGGGGAGACGCCAGGCGGAGTCGGCGAAATTCAAACACGCGGATCTCCCGCGCAGAGCTAGAGCAGCCACGTCGTGTGCACGTGCAGCCATGTCAGCTGTAGGGTAAGTCCCGAGCCAAATGCGTTGTTGGTGCGTCGGCTCTCGGACTTCGCAGACCCATTTGTCGCCGTTCCTCCGTCGTATTCCTCTGAAAACTGGGTGACGTGTCTCGTTGAATACTTTGCGTCCCGCACGCCTCTTTGGCCTCATCTCCGCAAGAATGATCCCATCGTTATTATTATCCATTGCAATACTAGTTCTTGTATTGATATAAGTACAAAGTGGTTATAGATTGTCCGAATATAAAGATTTTTTTTGGTGTTAAAGACTTAAAGTTATGTTCTGTTTTGTTTTGGGTGGGAGTTATGAAACAGAGAAGTGAACGAGATGAGATATTATATAGGCTGCGGTTGTGGGACATAGAGTGCGAAATGAACGCGCGTAACACACCGTTATTTGTATCAAGGCTTGTTGCCACGTGAGCATTAAAATGAGATGGTACGATATTTTTAGCTGTTTAGTGTGAGCTTGAAGTGAACCAGCATATTAAATCACCATAATGGTCTGGGACCCTCTTATTTATCCAATTCAAGTTTTTAGTTTTATCGTTTTGTCATAAAAGTAAAAATTATGCAAGATTTAACAAGGTTCTTACTTCTTAGTTTAGTAAAGGTTACTGAATCATTTAGGATATCAATTTTTAACTTTTACTATTAATCTTTTCTAAACCTAAGTTTGTGGTATTAATCCATTAAACCTCTAAAAAGGACATTACTCCTTAACTATTTCTGTTGTTTATGTGAAATAAAATTGAACGAGTTTACTTTTTAAAGCAAGGGTATGATTGAATAAGATGAGTCTCTCATAGGTTTCATTGCTATGCAATACAAAAATTAAAGATTATATATAAGTATAACTTCAGCCATTTTCTGCCTTGTGTACTTCACACATCAACCATGCTATATCATAAGTCTATTAGACACAAAATGTTCCATTAGAAAGTCTTGACCCATTACTTATTTATCTATAGACAAAGTAAGGGATACATGAGGTTGTGAGTTTTTACTGAAGTCAAAGATTGTAAGAGATGCAGAGTCTGTATGTTAAGCCGATATATACTATACATATCAGAACCAGTCGCTGGATTGTTGGAGATAAACTTGACAACAACTTGATAAGCAAGCTACCGAGTTCCTAATATATAGGAGATTAGGATAAAAGAGAATATACTTACCTAATGAGTTTAGGAAGTTCTACGAATCTATATAAGGAGTTGTTAAAGTTGTGACAACCTTTATGAGTTTGTGAGAGATTCTTAGTGAGAGCTTAAGTTTTTGAGAGATNTCTTGAGCTAATAAAAGGGTTTTCTTATAATCTTACGTTTACTATTTGAAGTTAAATCAATAATTGGTATCAGAGCTAAAGATCTGGTTGAAACATCATGAGTGACAACATGGCAATAACAACACGATCTCAAGAAAGAATACCATCGTCCATCACATGTCCTATGCTTACATCTACTAATTATACGGTATGGACAATACGGATGAAACTTCTTCTCAAGGTTCATGAAGTATGGGAAGTTGTTGAAACAGAATCAACCGAGAAGAAGAAGAATGATATGGCAACTGCTTTAATCTTTACAGCTATTCCTGAAAGCCTCGTACTGCAATTTGGAGATCTTGAAACTGCAAAGCAAGTATGGGAGGCGATCAAAGCTAGGTATCTTGGAGCTGACAGAGTTAGAGATGCAAGGTTGCAAACCTTGATGGCTGAATTTGACAGGTTACAGATGAAAGACACAGATACTATAGATGACTTCGCTGGCAAGCTATCAGAGGCTTCTTCAAAATCAAACGCTTTAGGCGTAATTATGGAGGAACCAAAGATAGTGAAGAAGTTTCTTAGTAGCTTACCTGACAAATACATCCATATTGTTGCTTCTCTTGAACAAGTCCTTGACCTAAACACTATTACGTTCGAAGAAACCGTAGGAAGAATGAAAGCTTATGAAGAACGTATAAAGAGAAAAGAAGAAGCTAATGCAGAAACTCAGACAAAATTGATGTATGCTAATGCAGAGAATCAAAACCAGTACCAAACTCAGAATCAACACTATTACAGTAACAGAGGTCGAGGAGGAAGATTTGGTAACAGAGGAAGAGGTCGTGGAAGAGAGTTTGACATGTCCAAAATAGTTTGTTTTAGATGTGACAAGCTAGGACACTTTGCGTCTGCTTGCCCAGATCGATTATTAAAGCTACAAGAAGCTTATGAAACGAAAGAAGATGACACACAGAAAGCAGATGGACTTCTGATGCATGAGATAGTATACTTAAACGAGAAGAATGTGAAGCTAAAAGAGTTTGAAACAGACTCAGACAGTGATAAAGTATGGTACCTAGACAATGGGGCAAGTAATCACATGACTGGAAGGCTAGAATACTTCAAAGACATTGATGATACAATCACAGGAAAGGTGAGATTTGGAGACGATTCCAAGATAGACATCAAAGGCAAAGGTTCAATACTGTTTATAAGTCAAAACACAGAGAAGAAGATCCTAGCTGATGTATACTATATCCCAGACTTGAAGAGCAACATCATTAGCTTGGGACAAGCAACAGAGTCAGGGTGTGAAGTAAGAATGAAGGAAGAAACACTTACTTTGCATGACCGCGAGGGAAATCTGATAGTAAAAGCAAAGCGCTCAAGGAATAGACTCTACAAGGTAAACATGGACATTGTTAACAACAAGTGTTTACAGAGCATAGTTCTCAGTGAGTCCAACAAATGGCATTCAAGACTCGGACATATTGGCTTAAAATCATTGGAGGCAATGGTGAGAAAAGGAATGGTGAGAGGATTACCAAATATTTCGATTGAAAAGGAGACATGTGCATCTTGCTTACTTGGCAAACAAGCTAGACGTCCGTTTCCACAAGCAACTAGTTACAGAGCTTCACAACCTCTGGAACTAATACACGGAGACTTATGTGGTCCGATCACTCCACCTACAGCTGGTAGAAATAGATACATTTTTGTTCTTATAGACGACTATTCGAGATACATGTGGTCTATTCTCCTAAAAGACAAAAGTGAAGCAATGGAGAAATTCAAGGCGTTTAAAGTATTGGTGGAACAAGAGACAAAAGAATCAATACAAACATTCAGAACAGATAGAGGAGGAGAATTCACATCCAACGAGTTCAATCAGTTCTGTGAAACACATGGGATTAAACGGCACCTGACAGCTCCATACTCACCACAACAAAACGGAGTCGTTGAAAGGAGAAACAGAACACTTCTTGAGATGACAAGGAGTCTACTGAAACATATGAGCGTACCAAACTACTTGTGGGGGGAAGGAGTTAGACATGCAACCTATATCATTAATAGAGTAGCTACAAGAGTCTTGAATTTACAGACTCCATACGAGGTGTTGAAAGGTGTGAAGCCAAACGTTGAGCATATACGAGTGTTTGGATGTGTGAGCTATGCGAAGACTGAAGCTCAACATTTGAAGAAACTTGATGACAGGTCTCGTATGCTTGTACACTTAGGAACCGAGCCAGGCACTAAAGCATACAGACTACTTGATCCCTCAAGCAAGAAAATAATAGTCAGTAGGGATGTAGTATTTGATGAGACAACAACCTGGAAGTGGAAGGATGAAGAAAGCAGTGCAGAACACAACCCTGGAAACTTTACAATCTCTTTCTCTGAGTTTGGAAACAATGGTGTTCATAATGAACCCGAAGGAGGAGAGGGTACTAATGAAGAAGTTACAGAGGAAGTTGCAGAAGAAAATGCAGATGAAACTACCGAGAATAATGGTGATCAAAACGAACCTGAGAACATAGAGGAGCCTATTCAACTGAGAAAGTCAAGCAGAGTTGGTAAGAAACCAAGCTACTTGGAGGACTACATATACGTAGCAGAGGTAGAAGGAGAAAGACTTCTACTAATGATCAATGATGAACCTTTCGAGTTCAGTGATGCTGTGAAAGAGAAAGTGTGGAGAGATGCGTGTCAAGAAGAGATCAATTCAATCAATAAGAACAAAACCTGGACTTTGGTTGAGTTACCTGCAGGAGCAAAAGCTATTGGCCTTAAGTGGATCTTTAAGATCAAAAGAAACTCAGACGGAAGCATAAACAAATACAAATCAAGATTAGTAGCAAAAGGTTACATCCAAAGGTATGGAGTTGATTATGAAGAAGTATTCGCTCCTGTTGCACGCATAGAGACCATCAGATTCATCATCGCATTAGCAGCATCCAAAGGATGGGAAGTTCATCATCTGGACGTCAAAACAGCTTTTCTAAACGGAGAACTAAAAGAAGATGTATATGTGGCTCAACCAGAAGGATTTGTAGTTGAAGGTGAGGAAACAAAAGTATACAAACTGCATAAGGCTCTATACGGTTTGAAGCAAGCTCCTAGGGCGTGGAATGAGAAACTAAATACAGTTCTCAATACTCTTGGTTTCAAGAAGTGTACTAAAGAGCCTTCACTGTACCGAAGGAAAAGAGAAAGAGATCTATTGTTGGTAGCTGTGTATGTGGACGATCTTCTTGTTACAGGATCAAGTCTTGACATGATTCTTGCCTTTAAAACCGAGATGTCAAAACAGTTTGACATGAGCGACTTAGGTAAACTAACCTACTACCTAGGCATAGAAGTGATACAAGACTTGGGAGGAATCACCTTGAAACAAGAAAGATATGCAAGAAAAATATTAGAAGAAACAGGGATGGATGACTGCAATGCGGTTCAAACACCTATGGATGCAGGACTAGTTCTATCAAAGGCAGAAACAGAACAAGACGTAGAAGAGAAGGAATTTCGAAGAGTCATTGGGTGTCTACGGTACTTACTACATACAAGGCCAGATTTGTCGTTTGCAGTGGGAGTTTTAAGTAGGTATATGCACAAGCCTAAAGACTCCCATAGCATTGCCCTGAAGCAAGTACTAAGATACCTCAAAGGGACTACTTCATATGGACTTACGTTTAGAAGAACAGACAGAATCAAGCTTGTGGGTTACAGCGATAGCAGTCACAACGTTGACATAGATGATGGACGGAGTACTACTGGACACGTTTTCTATCTCAGTGAGTGTCCAATAACGTGGTGTTCAAGCAAACAGGATACAGTGGCATTATCATCATGTGAAGCAGAGTTTATGGCTGCAACAGAGGCTGCTAAGCAAGCCATATGGCTTCAAGAACTCTTGGCTGAGATCACAGAAGATAAGACTGAGAAGGTAACCATTCGTATTGATAATAAATCTGCAATAGCACTTACCAAGAACCCTGTATTCCACGGAAGGAGCAAACACATACACAAACGCTATCATTTTATAAGGGAGTGTGTTGACAATGAGCAAGTAGAAGTAGAGCATGTTGCAGGCAATTTACAGAGTGCAGACATTTTGACAAAAGCGNTAGGATAAAAGAGAATATACTTACCTAATGAGTTTAGGAAGTTCTACGAATCTATATAAGGAGTTGTTAAAGTTGTGACAACCTTTATGAGTTTGTGAGAGATTCTTAGTGAGAGCTTAAGTTTTTGAGAGATTTTTCTTGAGCTAATAAAAGGGTTTTCTTATAATCTTACGTTTACTATTTGAAGTTAAATCAATATGGATCACGTAAATATTAGATTGTCCATCTCTACATTGTTAGTCTTTTTGTTGATAATTGATTTCAAAGCTATTAAAACGTGTCTAATGAAACATGAGTTGATAAAAAAAAGTTGATACATTTGACTATCAAAGTTGATAAATCGTTTGTTTCTCAGAGCTAAATGAAAAAATTACCAAGACGATAAACACTAAATTATTTGATTAATGCTGCTTTTCGAAGACTGAATGATAAAACATTCATGGAATCGTTGGTCAAACATAACTACTTCGCTTTATTGGTTCTAACTTGTTACTGTATTAAAATCTTGAGGTCGGGTCCAGCTCCAACGTTGGACCACAAATATCTAATTGGAAGATTTTATTTGAACATTTGTTTTGTGGATATGTAACACGTTATTCTTTGAGTCTTTTCCATATTAAGTTGATTAGATATGAGTAACACGTGGTATTCCCGTGGGAAATAGTATTTCTTAGTACTATGTTACTAATTGCGCATAACATGTGCCAGTAAAATTTACCCTTTATTTTATCACTCAAAATACTTCAAGATATGTGAATTCCGGATCATGTGAAAATAAGCTTATTAGTTATGATTAGTTAAGAAGATACACGCTTTTTACTTTTCACTATGTTTTACAACAAGTACTCTAAGGGTATAAGGCATGTAAATTTTACAAGGTATTCTTATTTCTAATCAATCATATAACCTCATTCAAAACTTGTATGCTTACTGATAGATGGTAGTAGTTAATAGATGATAGTGACAATGATGAATGTTTAATAATGATAATACACAAAATGTTGAAATAAAATATGTAAACAAACAATAGCCATATATGTAAACTTACAGACAAGAAGACATGTAGGCCATTGAGGCCGATACAAAATAAAGACTTCATGCTGTCTCGTGAGTGTCACATGCGCGTGGCCTTTCATTCATCATTTATTTCTCTCTTAGGATTTGTCTTTAAAGCATATCGACGTGAACATTTCTAATAGTATTCAATTATATGTATATCCCGTGTATTAATATTTTACCAAACTTACTACAGTTAAACATGTTTTTTGGATTATTACTTTTATAAAATATCAACAGGTATTATTAAGAGATCAAAATGCGTCTACACACAGTTCAATGAACATGAACGTTAAATATTCTAAGTAGTTTTTAGAGTCCATGCTGAGTTTACAACATATCAAAATTTAAATTCTAAAATATGTATTATTATGGCGTCTGCCATTGTAAATTTTAAGTGCATCACAAAACCAATTGTATGTTGATTTATGAATTTTAAGTGCAGCACAAAACGAATTGTATGTTGTATCAGAAGAGATACTACACTAATCATATTAGCTTACACTCAAAGAATAAAACATATGACAAAAGGAAGCCATGTGAAACAGAAGACAACATGCTCTGTTTACATGTGTGAAAAAAATTGGCTTCTGACTAATCAGCCCAACTAACTCAAAAAAATCACTAATGAAGACTTACTCTTAGACATGAACAGGACACTCAAGAAAGCATACTCAAAAAGCTTTTGTCCAATCTACCATTTGATAACATATCAATAACCATCTTCATGGTGGAAGCATCTGCAGAGAACCCACACCTCTTCATTTCTTCTATGAGTTCAACAGAAGTTACAACACCACTACTGATGTAGATAAGTATTTGGAATATTTCTAAATATCTTATTATTTATTTTAATAATTATTTGGATAATTATCATTAATGTTTTAGGGTTTTATGGTTTTATTATATATAGCCGTTTAGGCTTAAGAGTTGTACACAGTTTATGATTGGATTAATAAAAATTGAGAGTTCTCTCTTTGTTCCTTGTTTTCGGCTAGATCATTGGTGATCTCAACGAATTTAAGAAGACATTGATCTTAGGCATTCTTAGACTAAATAAGATCTTTGTGTTATCATAGTTTTCCGGGTATTCTCAGAATCAACGGATCACTATTTCTATCCCTAGAAGCTTCCGCTACATCAACTACCTCCTAAATGAGCTCGGATTATTGTGTTGTATGTACACTCATTTGGGGCAATCCCATCCTCTCCCATCTTTTTAAACAACATATCCGCTTCAGACAGTGACCCTTTCTTACATAATCCTCCAATCATTATAGTATATGTTTTGACATCAGCCTTCACTCCTTTATGAGGAAGACTACTAAATAAGTTCCAAGCATCGTCTACCTTACTACCATTGCACATCCCATGGATGATGATGTTATATATAACAATATCAAGTTCCATCTTACTCATCTGCAGATCCTCAAATATTTGTATTGCCTTGTCTAGTTTTCCATTCTCACATAACCCATCTACCAAAATGTTATAAGTCACATTATCAGGATGAACACCTTGAGAAACCATCTCCTCGAAAGTTTCTTGAGCAACCTCGACTTTCCCCGCTTGAGAAAACCCTTGCACCAGAGTGTTATAAGTGACCACTTCTCTTATAGACATTTTCCGGAAGAGTTTAAGACCATCCTCGACCCGTTTAGCCTTACAATATCCATTTATAATGGTATTATAAGTCACGCAATCAGGATTGCATCCTTTGCTAACCATCAGATCCAGCATGTTGTTGGCCTCATCTAGGCGCTTCTCCATGTACAACCCATATATCTAAGTATTATATGTAACGGTATCAGGATCTTTACCTCTTGCAATCATCTCATTGTACAATTCTTTAGCCTCAACATGCTTTCCCTCTTTCACAAAAATGTCAATCAGTGCACTGAATGTGATGACGTTGGGTGTGATTCCCCTTGTGATCATATCTCTCATCAACTGTGCAGCCTCATCCCATCTACCAGCGTTACAAAACCCTCCTATGAGAGTGTTCTAAGTACTAACATTTGCTTTGATACCTTTCGTTTCCATTTCATTGAAAAGATTAAGCGCATCTTCAACGCTCCCATCTTTGCAAAGACTATCAATAATCAATCATATTATAAGTGACTACTTGAGGCTTAACCTTTCTATCTTCCATCTTCCTGAGCAGATCCAAGGCCAAGGAAGTGTCCCCTGACTTACAAATCCTGTTCAAAATCGGACCATAAGTAAACTGATCAGGTTGACATCCATTCTCCACCATCCTATCAACTAGTGCTACAGCTTCAGACACTTTACTATTCAAACAAAGTCCATTGACAAGAGTGTTTAGCGTTACCAAGTTTGGTCTAACTTCCATTTCCACCATTCTATCAACTAAAGCCACAGCTTCAGATGACACCACAATAAGGTAGTACAGAAGGTAAACCAAGAGACAAAACACCAATAGCTTTATTCAAATCTTCTTTAAACAATCTTTACAAGACCTTGTTTATTCAGCTTTACACGTCTAGTGTTAACACCCTAACACACGTCACTGAAAGATTCCTAAGCTACTCACTTATGTCTCTCTACCGTCAAGTACTTCAGCC